CAGCGGAGCCGCGGCAGGCTCGCCGCCCTCCCCCCGGTGCTCTGGCCGCCAGCGGAGCCACGGCGGGCTTGCCGCCCTCCCCCCGGTGCTCCAGCCGGTTGGGGAGAGCGGCCCGCGGCCAGGGTCCCCGCGGGAGGGGAGGGGGGGCGACGGGAGGCTTTTTTGCCTAGGGCGGCAAAAAAGCCAGAGCCGGCCCTGCTATGCATAGGGACGTACCAAATTCAAGGCCATGAAAAACACGTCACGGACCGTGAAATCTGGTCTCCCCCCCTGAAATCTAGTCTTTTGTATGCATTTACCCTACGCTTTACAGATTTCATGGGGGACACCAGTGTTTCTCAAATTGGGGGTCCTGGCCCAAAAAGGAGTTGCAGAGGGGTCACAAGGTTATTTTAGGGGGACTGCAGTATTGCCACCCTTACTTCTGCACTGCCTTCAGAGCTGGGTGGCCAGAGAATGGCAGCTGTTGGGTGGGCACCCAGCTCTGAAGACAGCACCCTGCCAACAGCAGCGCAGAAGTAAGGCTGGCAATACCATACTATGCCACCCTCACTTCTGCGCTGCTGCTGCTGGCAGTGGCTCTGCTTTCAGAGTTGGGCTCCCAGCCAGCAGCTGCTACTCTCCAGCTGCCCAACTCTGAAGGCAGCACCATTGCCAGCAGCAGCACAGAAGTAAGGATAGCAGTACCGCAACCTCCCCAACTCCTTTTTGGATCAGGATCCCTACAATTACAACACTGACATTTCAGATTTAAATAGCTGAAATAATGAAATTTATGATTTTTAAAATCCTGTGACTGTGAAATTGACCAAAATGGACTGTGAATTTCATCGGGCCCTACTTATACAGCATGCTCTGTCCATGCATTGTCCACATTTGACCTATTCCTTAGCTGATCTCTACATTCCTAACTTATCTTGTCCATTGTTATTCTTCTTCAAAGCAAATGGTTCCCTGGGAGCTCTCCCTCTTAGCTTGCTCAGACATTCTGTCTTTTTCAACCTCTATTTACCTCTGTGATGAGGTGGACTAGGCCCAGGGGCTCCCTGCTGGAGGTCTCAGGGTCCCACCACACCCTGTCCCAGAGAGGAGCAGAAGAGAAGTCCTCCAAGCAGCCTCAAGTGGTTGCGGGGAGGTAGCCAATGAGGGAGACTGCAGGGAGCAGCCAATCAGGGCCCAGCAGGCTCACATAAAAAGAGCTGCAGGGCTGGAGTCATCAGTTGCTGCCTGGAGCTGGAGGAGAGACGACTGTGTTCCTGGTTGGCTGGCTGAAAGAGCAGCAGGACCATGGACTGCTCAGTGTTGGCAGGGACTGGGGGAGCAAGAGAGAGCTCCTGGCTGGCTGCTGGGGCTGAGTAAAGACTGAGCCCAGGTTAGGCCACAGGAAGACAGTGTCTCCAGGGAGGAAGCCCTGGGGGTACAGCCCCATAGCAGGGCTGGGACATGTTAAAGACTCTATACCCGGGAAGAAGTTTGTTCTGTTTCACATACAGACAGTGTGTGAAACTTGGCCAGAAGCTGAGTCACTGAAAACCTATCTGAGATACCCAACAATAAGGGTCACCACAAATTGAGAGACTGCAGGCACATGCACTCAACCAACGTGTGCTTGTGAGAGGTGGGTGCCACCCTATTAGGATCTCCCTAATTCTTTCTTTCAAGGAATGAGGCCTCCTTCCAGGTGTTAATTACTTCTGTCAGGTCAGGCCTCAGCTGAAAAGGACTATCTTGTTCTTAGACTCATAGACTTTAAGGTCAGAAGGGACCATCATGATTATCTAGTCCAGTGGTTCTCAAACTGCGGGTTGGGACCCCAAAGTGGGTAGTGACCCCATTTTAATGGGGTTGCTAGGGGTGGCATTAGACTTGCTGGGGTGGAAGCTGAAGCCCGAGCTCCACCGCCCAGGGTTGAAGCCAAAGCCCAAGGGCTTCAGCCTTGGGTGGTGGGGCACAGGTTACAGGCTGGAGCCCTTGGGCTTTGGCACCCCCATCTGAGGTGGTGGGGCTCTGGCCTTGGCAGGGCTCAGGCAGGCTCAGGCTTCAGTCCCCCCTCCTGGGTTCATGTAGTAATTTTTGATGTGAGAAGGGGGTCGCGATGCAATGAAGTTTGAGAACCCCTGATCTAGTCTGACCTCCTGCCATAAATGCAGGCCACAGAACCGCACTTATCCATTCCTGTAATAGACCCATAACCTCTGGCTGAGTTACTGATGTCCTGAAATTATGGTTTAGACTTCTTGCCAATAATCTCCCTTATCTGAACTGTTGTCTCAAATTTTATCTTGGTCTTTTTTGCCTATCTGAGGGTCTGAGAATAGAGCAAACAATCCCATATGTCAGTAATGTTATTCATTTGAGTTCTTAGCTCATGTCTATGTAAGAAAGCCACACATGTTTAACTAAAAGCATGATTTAAACTGATTTAGTTAAAACAGTGGGACAGTGTTGTTGACACACTTATTTCACTATAACAGTGGCCTATTTTTGCAATATAGCCTACTTATCCTCTTTCTCTGACTGGATCTTGATGGTGGCTAGCTACCACCTTCTTCCCCATCGTTTCAAACATGTCAGAGGGGGAGAATCTCTCCAGCTTCTCTTGTTCAAGTTTTTCATGATTCAAAGCCAAGCTTCCCTTCTTTGAGGGGTGATGAAATTCATAAAAGGAAATGGGACTCTTGATCACTTTTGTGCTATTCACCCCTTAAACTCTTCCAAACTACAGGTGGAAAGGAAGTGGCGGACAACATCCTTAAAACAGCTCAGTTCTTCCTCTCGGGGAAGAATAGTTTCTAAGAGAAAAATGTCCTTGCCAAATTACAACTTCAGAACCAGGGATATAACCTTGAAACTTCTCCTTTCCAACCGTGTAGAGGTGTCTCTGGAAGAGACTCAGCTGATGTGGAGGAAGCAGATGTCCCAAAGTCTGGGCCCTTTTCTCTGACAGTGTGAGGGTCCACAGGCTGGGAGCAATCATGGTAGAGCTCCCTTTCTGTGGCTCCTGAAAGGGTCTGCTTCTATAGACAAAAGGTAGTCCAGTGGCTAGGGCACTAGCCTGGGACTAAGGAGGCCAGTATTCAAATTCCTGTTCTGCTACAAGCTTCCACTGGGGGCTAGACTCTCTGTGCCTCAGTTCCCTATCTGTAAAATGGCAGGAAATAGTACCTTGCAGGAGTGTTGTGAGGATAAGTATATTAAAGGTGTGAGGTACTCAGATACTACAATAATGAGAGCCAGGTAAGTACCTAACATACCTAGAGAGCCCCTCTTGGTCTTCAGCTTTCTCCATTTGGCCTGCTCATCCTGACAAGTGACAGAGAGAATGATTTTGCCCTTAGGAGTGAAGGCTGATGTCCCAAAATCAGCCTTAAAAGGTGTGGTTGCAGCTCTGCTTGTACCCCTGGAGACAGAGAAACTGGTACAAAGACAGGAGGGGTGTGGGGCAAGTGCTGGAGACACCAGGACAAGTCTGAGCTGCTTCAAATATTTCTGAGTAGAGAGGTGCAGTCCAGTTGTTTCAGTGTGGAGGACAGCTCAGGATTCAGAAAGAATGATCAAGACAGATAAATGATAGTGATGGCTATATTTGGCTATTTGCAAATATCATTCAGTGTATACACTGGCTCAGCTCCTTCTACAGTATGTTTTCCTGTACTGCTAAATATATCTGGAAAATATGACTTGACAAAGGAGAAACCATAAGTCCTTGCAAAATAACTGACCTTTTCTTTTAAGACAGAGCAGGTTAATGTCATTTTAAATGAAAACTGATTTCCCTTTCACTAGTGTAAGGAAAGCAAATACGGTGAAGTTAAGCCCACCCTTTTATACGATGGATAGGCTGATTCAATTAGCTAAATGGAGATCTGCTATCTGAAGACAGAAAATTCTGCTTGGAAGGATCTTAATATGAATAATTTAGTTGTCAAGAGTCCTAAATGGCAACACCAACATGTATCTGTACCACTGTGCAGCAAAGTGAAGAGTTCTGCTCAGGCTGTGCTCACTTTGAGAGACTTCTGGCTATTTCCCTGCAAAGGTGAGCCAAGACCTAGATTCAGTCAAAATATGACTACTAAAAGACCCTAATAGTCACACAGTTGACTGCACTGTGCCAAACAGATGAGGCACATTGGAAATTTATGCAAAATGTGTCTTCCGGTTGAGAAGAGGCTAAGAAAGCTCCCCCTGCTAGATCTGGTAGAGAGAATCTCCCTTTTAACAAACCTAGGGCTTGACTCAAAACCAACTGAAGTAAAGGGGAAAACTCTAATTTCAATAGTCTTTGTGTCAAATCCATGGAGAGCACAAGGATTCTGATTTAAGTTCTTGCTGAGGTCTGTTCAGAGTGCACACAGCAAAACTCCAGCTACCAGACAGGGATCCTGCTAACAGGGAAGTTTGCTCTAGTAGTCATGACACTAACACAGAGAAGAGACCATTACACCTATTTCTTGAGGACAAAGTTTTAAACCAACAGCCTCAAAATAGATGCCCCTTCTGAGCTTCCAAGGCTATGGTTACTACTCTAGCAAAAAACGGATTAATTTTCAATTTAAAAAATAAAACTTCAGCATTTACATACACCAGTGGGGTGTTCCTGGTAAATTGGAAAGAAGGGTGCAGTTCAAAGAAGAGATACGCTATAATAAATATCTTTACATACAACCACCAGTGAACTGATGAAAATGTATGTATGTTTCTGTTAAAAATGGCTTTCCAAGAATTACTCCTGGGGGAATTCTGTGCCACTGTGCAATGCAGAATTTGCACAGAAATTAATGTTCTGCACAGAATTTCCTCCCTCCTCCTCCCCCCCATAGAAATGGGCTGCAGAGCTGCTGGTTACCACTAGGAGCTGCTGGACCTGGCAGAGCCCAGCTCACAAATAGAAGACTCTGCCGGTGGAAGGGGAACGGAGCTGGAGGGCTCCAGGCAGCTACAATTCCAGGCATACCCTGAAGGAAGAAGGCAGCATGCAGGAAACTCCACACAAGCCCTGGACCCAGCATCAGGCTGTTTCTCCATCTGGATTCCTGGGCTCTGGGAGAGTAGGGTGTGTGTGCAAGTGTCTGGGCTGGGAGGGGTGGGGGTGGACTCCACAGCTGGGGGGTATAGGAGTGTGGGTGTCTGGGCTGGAGGGGGGGGGCACGGTTGGGCTCTGGGGGAAGGGATATGGGTGTCTGGCTCCTGGCTGGGCTCTGGAGTGGGGAGGGGCAGAGAAACAGGAACTGGATTGTTGTAGGGTTTTTTTTAACTCTACTCCTGGGGGAATTTTTTGTGTGTCTGCATCGTGACAGAGTTGCTGAAAGGTATTTTGAAATAAATTAACGAAATAATTGAAACTGGGGTGATTATATATAGTGTTATTTTGACAAATTAAATATGCAGAATGTAAAATATGGTACATGGAATTTTTAATTTTTTGGTGCAGAATTCCCTCAGGAATAAAGAATACGTAATTGCCATATATAAAATGACTGCACAATATATCCACCAACTATATCTTGCAGAAGATAACTGAAACCACATGGAAGAACCATCAGAATCTCACATGACCAACAACTAGAAGAATCCCTGCTATGAATGGTGTAACTGAATTTTCTTTAATTATATCAACTATTGTATTTTTCAAAAGGCCATATATAAAAGTCTTACAGAAAGTCTATACGAAATACCATTATTCTGTTCTTTTTGTTTAGTAAATATCTACTTTTGGTACACTAATTAATGTTTTAAAGAGTATAGAATTTTTTCTCAGAGTTATTTTAAGTCTAAAAAGAAAATGAACTGTCAAAATGACCCTTCTGTGTTGTAAAAAATGTCCGAGTTATTGCCCACAATTAAATAAAACTCTGTTTCTTAACATTACCGTTTCTGAAAGGATCACTGCTTCAGATTGTTGCAGAGAAATATCCGTAGATTTCAACTCTTTATCAAATATCTCTTGGTGTTTGCTGTTCCTTTTTTCCTTCTTCTTTTCCTTCTTATCTTTATCTAGGTCATCCTTGTCCAACTTATCTTGAGACCTAGAATGCATCTTTTTTGGCAGAAGAGGTTCAAGCACAAACCTGAAGGAAAATTTGGTTTATTTAGACCAATGAAATATTACTGTCAAACAACAAATTTTAATTTTCCCAGTCCCCAACAAAAGTATAATTTTAGTCCAGAGATCTTTTGTTAACCATCATTATCACGACGGGGAAAGAAGGTAATGACAAACTGTAATTGTCTCATGCTAAAATTTAATGCAGAACTGTTAATGAACAGTACTGTGTACCTCCCAGTTCTGAGGCAAATTTACTATTAGATGGTTACACACACTGATAAGCATCTCTCTGTGTGTTTATATATCATCACATTTGTAGATCACACCATCATCCACTACCATGTACAGCCTGCCTCATTCACTGCAAATCTTAGTAATTCACAAATGATCATAATGCAAATTGATGAAGTTCTACTTCATGAATATGTGTATGCCACACATGTACACACAGGCAGTACTTGTACATACACTTTACAGGATCATATACATATGCATACTGTGTATACATGTCCACAAAAAAGTACATTAAAAGATTATTATTAAGATTGCAAAGTCAAGCACTGAAAAGTTAGGAAATGCCAGAACTGATGTTGCATCTGTAACCTTAATTCGGCACCCTTGTGCATATGCATTGATAGAGCCTCTAATTACACAATCACATACTATTTTCTCCACAGGAAATCACATACTATTTTCTCCACAGGACTCCTGCCTCATTCAGTACTCAGGACAGACCTGCTCTGGGTATGAACCATGGTTATGCAGGGAAGAAGGCTGTTGTCTGATGGCCCCCTGCTTCATTTGTTGCAGAAGTTGGAAAGTGTATAGTGACTAGAGCTGGTATGAAATTTTCCAGTGCAACGGTTTTGAGGTTTGACTAACTGGTTCCCTGTTAGCTCGCCTTGAACCCCAAATGCCTGCTCTTAGTTCAGGTGCCCAAACCTGGACCCAGGACAACCCACAATAGCGCAGAGCTGCTGCAATTGCAGGGAAATTCTTGTTTTACCCAAGGCTAGAGCATGCCCAGTACAGACGGAATCTTTGGGGAATTTAGCTGCAGTCTAGCAAGTATCAGAGGGGTAGCCGTGTTAGTCTGAATCTGTAAAAAGCAACAGAGGGTCCTGTGGCACCTTTGAGACTAACAGACTCTGTTAGTCTCAAAGGTGCCACAGGACAGTCTAGCAAGTGTCTACTACACATGTGCGAAATGTGATTTTTCAAAGGCTTATAACTTGGCCGACTTGGGATGGGTGGATCTTCACAGGCACAGCAAAAGACTCACCTCCTTGCCAAATTTTTAATCCCTGCTACAAAGCATAGATGCATTAGAGAGTGTCAAAGAAAAGGTCCCCAGAATTTTTTTTATATGGGCATAACAATGTATTTTTCCATAGTTTTATTTTCAGGAATCTGAACTGTTTCAGCTAAAATCTTCCAAAGAAAATTCCACCTGAGGCAGACATCTGGCATGGAAAACTCAACCCACATGGGTTAAAGATTGGTAAAGTTATAAGCAACTGAAAACAGGGTTTATAATGGGAAGTGTCAGGCAACTTTAATAATAAACGGTGCTACCAGCTGTATGTATAATAACATAATGCATAATATGTACATATGTGATTAGATGTGTATGTGTATGTTATATGTATGATATGTATGCATATATCTACAGATCGTGATGTATGTGCATACACTGTACTATGAGGATAAAAGAGCAATTCCAAGTTTCTGATGTTATAAAAAAGATTGAAGGATGACAAGTTAGTGAAAGTCTTTAGATTCATTTTTTTTATTGCCAATAACTAAGGGCAAGGTTGATTTCTGAATAGTAGATGAATTTTCATAACTGGAACGGTACAAACCTCAGGCATTTGGTAAACAGACATGTATTTTGAGTGTGTGAATATATGCAAGGCTGGTACCCTACTATCATAACCTCTCTTTGAAAAGATACAATTTTTACCCTTCACAGTTGACTATTTTTTGCTCCAGCAGAAGCCTTTAGGGTTTTAATGAACTTTTAAAAGAAAATAATAAACAGTTCAATATTTAAACATGTTTTTTAATTTTATTATTTAAATATGCCAAGCAAAACTCTAAGGAATATTTCAATGATATTTTTCCTGTTTTGAGTCCATTGGCTTAAATTTCCAGGAAATTAAAGATCTAAACATACTATGACTCCTTTTGGGCTAGTTTTTCATGTATAATGTGCAGCGTAAAAGGTAATTTTTTCTACAAAATTAGCTTTAAAAAGATAAATTTCAGACTACACATTATTTTGATATGTATTTGATCTTATGAAAGAAGAAAAGAACACAACCTAGGTTAAACATTATATTAAAGAATTTATAAAAACAAATTAAAATTATCACATGGCAGAAAGACAAACTGTGTGATAGAAAGTCAATCTTCTTTATAAGAAAGCTTTCTTCATAAGGAAGAAAAGTATATACTGAGCTATAATGCTTGCATCTGTAGGCTCTGATCCTGCATTGGGATCCACTAGTGTGGACCTCTCACTGACCTTGTGAAATCCACTGATGTTATCTGAGGTTCAAAGGCTCAGGGTTGTGTACTAGAGGTTTCCAGTGTAGAATCAAGGATTATATTTGCATAACATATATAGTATATATATTTCAACATGGTGACTGTGATGGGGTGTACCCTCTGAGGCCCTCGGGAAGACCCTGCAGTCCTACCACACCCCGCCACAGAAAAAAGGCAATAGAGTGGGGTCCTCCAAGCGGCCTAGAGAGGCTGAAGGGAAGGCTCATATAAAAGGAGTTGAAGGGCCTCGACAGTTCAGTTGCTGGCTGGAGCCAGAGGAGGAAGTATGATGTTCCTGGCTGGCTAAGGAAGCTGCAGCAGCTGGACAGAGCAGTTGTTGGCTGGGACCAAAAGGAGTGGAAGGCTGGGAGATTCCACAGGTACGGAGAATGGGGAGAAACCCTGCCTAAGAAGGGATAGGACTGTGAAGCTCTCCAAGCACTGAGGCCTAGGAGAGAGAGACTTGACAAGAAGGGCCAGAGACTGTTATAAGCTCATGAGGTGAAGGGCCTGTGAGAAAGAACCCTGAGAGAACATGGAAGAGACTCTCTAGGCAAGGGGGCTTAAACAGGGAACAGGCCAAGGACCCAAGAAGCTGATGAGACAGAGTGGAAAGCAGCCCAAGGAATGCAGCAATAGACACTAACGAAGGAAGCAACAGGTGGCTACTAGTTGTAGGGTCTCTGGGTTAGGACCCGGAGTAGTGGGGAGGGCCAGATCCCTTCACCAGCCACAGGCTGAGTGGCAAAGGGCTGAGGAGGCAACTAGTTTTGTGTGGATCCCAAGAAGGGGGAAAGTGCTCAAACAGGCCCAGAGATGGGATAGAGGACCTCGGGGTGGGGTGGGGGGCTAACCATTTGTTGGACTGTGTTACCCCAGAAGGGGTTTATTTTCTATTTGTTTCACATATAGACTGAGGGAGGGCTGAGTCACTGAAAATCCATCTGAAAAGAGAAACTGCTGGTGGAGGGCACCACAAAAACAGTTCAGGCATGCACCTGGCCAGCAGGAGGCATTTGCAGGCCACATTTTTACAGTGACAAAGAAATATGTAGTAAGTATTACAGGCAGGATTATTCATATTTACTACATTACAGTATTTCCAAAGAATGGAAACTGAGAATATTAACATACGATAATACGTATTTATAAATCAACTTGTGCCCACTATTAAATATTCAATGTATTTTATACTGGAAAGTCTATATTGCAGAAAACGCATAGGGAATGTTTATGCTAGTAACATTCATTTGCATCAATGACAATAGACTCTCCTTGTGGTTTATCTTCTTAAAAGACTAGTTCCAAAATTACTGAGTTTTGTTAATTAATGTTAGGGTTTGGTTGTTTTGTTTTTACATTCATCTTTCAAGTATATTTTGGCAATCCTGAAATCAGAGCTACTGCCTCCATTGTTAATATGTAACTTTTATCAGCAATGGTGTGAATTTTTAAAACCATGTTTTAAATCTAAATTAACACTATAATGAACCTTCTGTAATATGTTAATCCATTCAAAACTCATATCAGACGTCTTACAAAAACGTTGCTAAATAATTATGTAAAACAATGACCTGATTTAAAAAAAGAACAAGAACTGGTTTGAAATTTTCAGATGTAATGTTTTTCCACTGGAAAATACCAATTTGTTAAAATCGAAAGCTTCCATGAGAATGTGATGATGATGATGAAATTCCAATGAAAATCACGGACACCAGCTGCTACTGTAAACCTGGTTTTCCTACCAGCTTCCCTGATTCCTCAGCAGACCGCCTGGCAGCTACCAGCCAGACTACCAGTTTGATTGCCCCATAGCCAGTGCTTCCAGGGCTGAGCTGCCCAGCTCCCCATCTGGTGAGTTGCCACAGCTCTGGGAAGCTGTTGGAGCATTGGAAACATTTTGAAAAGGTTGAAATGAAAAGCTGCTGTTTCTAAATGAAATTTTGGAATTCCTGTTTTGTGGGAAATTTTGAAATTTCATTTTTTGTACCATGTGAGAACAATTTTTTTTTAATTTCAGAATTTCCTACGAATTGAAATTTCAGTTTCTGGCCAGCCCCTCTTAGAACTTAAGTTTATTCATTAGACATCTGACAAAAGACACTCAAATCAGCACCTTGAAGAAGTGGGCCTGTAATGAGGTGGACTAGGCCCGAGGCCCCCTGCTGGAGGCCGGTGGCCCTGCCACACCCTACCACAGAAAAGGGCAGAAGAGGGGTCCTCCAAGCTGCCTACAGCAGCTGTGTGGGAAGCAGCCAATCAGGGCCTAGCAGGCTAGTATAAGAAGAGTTGCTGGGCCAGAATGAGTTCAGTTCCTTGCTAGAGCTAGAGGAGTGCAGATGGTGTGTGGCTGGCTGAGGGAGTTGCAGGATTTCAGATGAGGTAGTGCTGCCAGAAGCCAGGGAGAGAGAGAGAAGGAGCCCTGAGCTAGTTGCAGGGATTCCATCAGGACAAAGCCCTGAGATAAGAGTG